TTTTAAGTAAAGTAAGAATTATATGTCACAGGGAGGGCATCAGGATTTGAAAGATGCTTAGGTGCGGCATGGCCAAAAAAAGGTTGGGAACCACTGTTCTAAATCCTTCTAGACCTCCAGTATCTTACATAGCGCATATCATGCAAAATTCAGCAAGTCCCTGGGTTAACAACACTCCAGTTTAAGGAAGATTCGTAGTTTTGAAAGAAGCCTATTGTAGCAAAGTTTGTTTTAAATACACAATGATTCAAGTTAAATATACAATGGTTCAAATTCATTATACAATACTGCTCATACAATAATACTGTTCCAGTTTACCTACAATTTAATTGAAGGATGGACCTTGGGAACATAACTCATTATTAAACTGAAGACTAACTGTAATAAAATACCATGGTAACCTGAACAAAACCCATATAAAATATAGAGTATACTAAGACAATCAGTAGTAATAATAATGCAATATAACTATACTGCACAATCTAAAAGTTTAAATATACTCAGTACTCAAAGCCCCATGAAAGAATTCAGTTGTTCTCTGAATGTCACAATCATGGGAGATCAAGATACAATTTCTAGTGAAGACTGTTCCATAAAATAGGTAAAATAATTACAAAAATATTTTTGTCTGGTCTCACTTCTCTCATCTCGTAAACATGGGGAACCACTAGCAATTTTGCCACAAGGATCACCTGATGGGTCAGCATAGTTTAAAGCAGTTAGTCCTGCAGATGTCATTGCTGTTTATAAATATATGTTTAATGGCATAGTATTCATCACTTTTGATCCATGAGATGTATGAAAAACCTTTCAAACTCCTTACAATAGCTGCACTCCTTACAGTCTGAATTTGAAACCCCTTGATCAGATCATGCCATAAGAATGTTTTAAAAGCTGTATCTTTTAATTGTTCATTTCACTCTCAGACTTAATCCAAGCGCAGTTATAAACCCTACTGGTTTCTCTATTGATTCAAATTTTTCTGGTTCTTAGGTCAAGTAGTTTGTTAGTAATTTCTTGTTTAATTTTGTTGATTGTAGCTTTCTGTGCAAGTTTATTTTAAAACACTATTTGATGATAGAGCTTCTTTAGTTTGACTACTTTTGTGTATAACATGAAGCCAAGATATGTAAGAATTGGTTGGCAAAGTTCATTGAATTATCTAGAAGGAAAACTGATTTTATTTAAGCAACGTAATAGTTATAGGTGATCCAGTTAAATAACAATTTTAACAATCTTTTATATAATTGGGATGAAATGCTAATGAGATATTAGTGCACACTGAAATTAACATACTTAGTGAAAGAAGCAGGCAACATTTTCAACTAGAATCAGAGATTGTATCATAACCAAAGCAGCAACAATATTTATACTTCAGGCATATAACAGAAGACAACTTTACAGAGGTACAAATATTCAAGGATATGCTGAAGTTTGGGGATCCAGACCAATAAACTACATCAGACCATCCTCATAAGTTTTTGTATAAAAGCTTATGGTGCCCAAGTGATTACCTACTTCTCGGTGACAATATTAATCTCACCCCATGGTATCACATATTTAACTTTTTTTCAATTTTATTTTCAGTTCATTGGCAACCAAGACAAATTTTGATTTCATTCCTTGCACTTGTTCATTTTCTGTTCTGCAGAAAAGCATTACTATATGATTTCACAGATTCATTTTAACAAATACAAAACTACTGTAACCTTATGTTTTATGGCCTGTAAAGCACTTATGCCCATAATACTCCAAAATGTTTCATCACAACCCCCCTCCATAGTCACATGATTACATTCTGGATGATTATGATTGGTTGCCAGGCATCCACAATCATGTGCTCACCATTTACCACCTTCTCTGCTAGCTTCTCTAGAAAGTCGATGGGAAAGCTGGCAGGAAAGATTGCAATCTGTTGCTGCCTGCCTCTTGTCTCTGTGGGTGGCTGAAAGAGGTGGCTACTTAAGAGACATGAATTCCCCAATGAGGTTAAGAAAGGGAGCTCAGATCCAGAACACAGAACAGTTTTCTTCTGTGCCTGGAGAGAAGATGATTTTGTTTGGGTAGGTGGAGAAACAGAGCTTAGCTCCTGAAGAGCTGAGCTCCATTCCTGCAACTTGCCAAAGCAGTTCTTTTCTACCCATGGAGTGGAAATGAAGTTGGCAGACAACTTTTTTTGTTGTTGTATCCACTTAATGAGCCAGGCAATCACTTAGCAACCACAACCAGGAATGCCAGGATTGTGGTTCTTGAACAAAACAGTCACATGNTATTTTTCTCCAGAGAGTAAGTCATCTGTGTACCAAGTTTGCTTGAAATTGCTCGAGGCGTTCTCATATCGTTCCTTTTCTGTTCTCTCAGGCCAATTTGCCCCTGCTACAGCGGGAGCTCCTACATTGTGCAAGGCTGGCCAAGCAAAATCCCGCCCAGTACCTCGCTCAGCATGAGCAGCTGCTTCTGGATGCCAGCACCACCTCACCTGTTGACTCCTCAGAGCTGCTTCTCGATGTGAACGAAAACGGGAAGAGGCGAACTCCAGACAGGTGAGCATTTCATCCAGGTGAACTGCCTTTGCAATGTTTATTTTGTCTCAACAGTATGCCTTCTTCTCCCTGCACAAATACTACAGATCTCCATCATCCAGCAAAAAGCATGGAACTTCTTTCTGTGTGTAAGAGAGGGACGGATGAACATTAGCAAAGTAGACTGATGGATGGATAGGGATGGAATGTATTACTTTAGCTTTGGCCTAGCAGAACACTGGCATTCAGTAAAAGAAAAGCTACAGTCAGAAAATGAAGGCCTTTAAAAAGTGAAACTATCTATCCTACCTTTATTGGGTAGAAGGGATTTCAATATATTGAATCACTTTCACTACTGTTTCAAAATATTTAAAGAGCAATTGTAAAGGGAAAATGAGGATCTCTTATACCATTTTATTAGCCACACATAGATAGAAAAATGTGTTGCACAAAGGGAAGTGGATTTTGATTTAGCACTTTTTATAGATTATGTAATGGGACACGATGGCTCAGTGGCTAAGAATGTGTAACAGAGGGAGCTCCCGTTACTTGTCCCAGCTTCTACCAACCTAACAGTTTGAAAGCACGTAAAAATGCAAGTAGAAAAATAGGAATCACCTTTGGTGGGAAGGTAACAGTGTTTCGTGCGCCGTTGCCATTTAGTCATGCCAGCCACATGACCACGGAGACGTCTTTGGACAGTGCTGGCTCTTTCGCTTTGAAATGGAGATGAGCACTGTCCCCTAGAGTCGGGAATGACTAGCACATATGTGCAAGGGAAACCTTATAGATTATGAAGCAATTTATAGTAATGGCACAGTTGTTGTTATTACTCATGGTTTATACATTGCAACTAATCTAACAGTGAAACGTAGAATTATTATTGAATTCAACTGTAGTTTATATATTATTTGCAAATTATGTAAACATACTGGGTGTGATTTAATTTGCAGTGAACAAAATTTTCACATTGAAGAATGCTTATACTCTAAAAAAGATCCACTTCTTTACTTCCATTGTTTCCATTTAGTCCATTAGAATATATGCAACTTGAACTACCCAGAATGTGGGGGAAACTATACAGAATTGCATTTTGTCAAAATATCTCACAGTAATGTAGTTATTAACTACTAAGATTCCTATACATTCCATATTGGCCTGCACATGATTGTCATATTGGACATATTTGGACATAAATGTGCTGAATATATTGAAGTTCCAGATCTTGCACATGTAATAAGCTAAATGTAATAAGGATCTCGAAGTTGCAGCTTTGTATAAAATATATCGAATGACCACCTGCTAGGTGGCTCATAGATAGTATTCCAAGACGAAGAACAGCAAGCAAAGATGGTTGGTTTTGGGTCACCACAGCATGTCTCCCGGCCACAGTAAGATATGGCTGGCTGGGCTGCCCAGGGGTCCCCTTTAGAAATTCTGATTAGTTCTCCACTCCATCCCAGGTTGTGCTTTGGGGGCAATGCCGCACTTTTTGATGGCAATTTGAACCTTCTTTAAACCAAGTTAATGGCCTTTTAGGCTTCCGCCACATGAGTAGAGTTCTCTTTTTAAGTAAAGTAAGAATTATATGTCACAGGGAGGGCATCAGGATTTGAAAGATGCTTAGGTGCGGCATGGCCAAAAAAAGGTTGGGAACCACTGTTCTAAATCCTTCTAGACCTCCAGTATCTTACATAGCGCATATCA